TAGGGTATACACTTCGCAAGCTTTTTCTGGCTGGTAATTTTATTAAAAAAATATTGCGCCCGGCTGCGGCATAATTTATCAAAGATGTAACGATGTTAGTGCGCTATGTAACACAATTATACACGCGTTTATCGGGACGCCAGCATACGTAATGACTTTCTCTCTTTCTCTCTCTTTCTCTTGCGGATCTCTCTCGCCATTTTTCGCTGTCGACGATATCATTGACACGAAATAGATGCACGCAGTAGCGAGGAGATAACGCGGAAAAAAGGGTCAACAGTCAACGGAATAGTGAGATATTTCATGTAAATTTCACTCGACTTTACGAAGTCCATGCGCTGCTTCGAAGGTCTCTGCGCAAATAAATATCCGTCGCAAGTGCAATACCTATGGAAATATTACGTTGAGCATATGTTCAGTAGCGAATTGAAAATGAGTAGGATATTTGATACCTTTTGTGTCCGCATTCATTTGAATACCTTCTATTATTGAAGTCTTAGCAAGATGTGGGTCGGCATTTAATATTTCATCCTCGTTTTCAAAGATAATTTTATTAATTTTATTCTAAAATTAATTCTGATCATTAAAATGTTATAGATGACATTTTTTAGAAAATTTGAAAGGAATTGAACGGATTAAATTAAGTCTATTTGCATAAGAGCTGTTGTTTTAAGAAACTTATCGCATATTATTGAAAAAATATCGAGTAAATGATTTAGGAAATACTTTTTAATTTGATATTGAAAAGAAAGTATATAATCTCTCTAGAATGATATTAGAATGATGCTTTATCACTCCCGTGTCGATTACCTCTTCGCGTGTGGCTTTATGTTACTTCTTAGATTATTATCGTAAGAGAATTGTTCACAATCTCTTTCTACCATAATTTAATTATTACTGTGATAGAAATGTCAATTCTGTCGACATTAATATATGATATCGATATCGATCGAGATGATGAATGACTTTTACGTTTTCTTTCCCAATTGCTCTTATAATTCTTTCGAGGTAATTATAGTTTCAAGTAAATGGTCTATTAATAAAAAGTAAGATATATAAGATAGATTTGAAACTATTTAGTAATAAAAGACCAATATTGTGGTAGCAGAGACATAAAATTGTTTTTCGCAACAACAATTTGATTAGAGGTTTATTTGCTTAAAATTTTTGATGTTAAAAGCTTACAATTAAGAATGAGCTGGAAACTGAATTTTTATTTAGATTTCTATGGATATGGATTGAAGTATTGAAATATTGTGGTTTATTATTAAAATCAAAATGACATTATTAATTCGACAAGACATTAATCAAACTCAATGACGTGAATGTTACTGACTTAATCATTCCCAAGAGAATATTTCTTCGGATTGTAAATCACTAAGAGTATCATTGGCCTCCTTGTCGTTAGGAGTAATGTTTCATTCGCTGTTATACTTTCTGCGGGTGGCCGAGACCCGAGCTAAAACATAAGTTCTCTTTATGGAAGGGTATTGTTTGAGTTCCGATTTCTATCGTAACGACAAACATGGACGTCAGTTTACCGAGGAATTCGATTCACAATAGGATCGATTAGTCGAAGTCTGATACGCTTCCGATATTATGATATTACTTCTTATCACTTAAGTTATCACTTTTGTTATTATCGTTCTAATTACTTTTTTTAGTTTTGTAATGATTTCATATCGGTAACGAATACTTGTCTGTTAATTATCCGTTATTTAATTCTTCAAGGACAGATTACGAAATAAAGACAGAGTTTTGCAATTTGCAATAAATTTTCTGTTTGAGAGATTAAAATTTGATAAATGAGTTAAGTACCTTGCGACATTTATGTCTCATTTTATTTTATTTTTTTTTAAACTGTAAATTCATCTCTTTATAATTCATTCAACATTCGTTAAATGTTCATCGTAAATATGAAAGATTTATTTTCTAAGAAGAAAATAAATAAGCACTAGTAAGTGCAAAATTAAAATACTTTTTCCAGACGTAGATGTCTGCATTAATATTTCATATTCCCCTGCTTGTTAAATAATTTAGACGCATAAATGCATTTAACATTTCATTTGCTCGATTATATACTTCTTGTTACTGTTCATGTCTTCTTACCCACATTTTAAGGAATTTCAGGATGGCGCCGCGAATATCTCTCGTTGAATAGTTTCTCAAGTTCACAAATCATTAAGTTGGCTTGTTGAGAAATTTCTTACTATATTAGATGTTTGTGGTAACAGCCGTGAGAATATGTACGGGGCAGATTGTTTGCTGGTGTTTATCACATATATACAGAAGAATAATTGAAAAGTTTTAAATTTCGATTATTTAATAAAATAATGTGTTAAATGTATCATAATCATTCTATTTATTATTATTGAAACGATGCATAAAAAGAGAAGAATTATTTAACATTACATATAAATAATATATGGTATATAAATAAAATAATATCAATTTCAATGAAGCTGTATTTTAATTAATATTGTAGAAAGGAATAAATTATTTAAATATTACTTCTTTCATATGATTTTCATCAAATAAATATTCTTTTAACATTTTTTTCTCTTTCTGTATTAAGCATGGTACTTAAAGTGCATGTTTTGTACCTCATTTGGGAAATTTGCTATCCTCATAAGTACCTATACATATACCGAGTCATTTAATTTCCCTTACATTGTTCGGTAAAATGACCTTTATCTTTAGCGCAAATTAGTAAAGAACAGAAGGATAAAAAAAGAAGAGGGATATACGATAAGATAAGCAAATAATGGAAAGAAAACTCATATCGGTGTATAAATGACAATGACATGCTACTATAAACTATAAAAATTGCCATTGTCATACAATTCTTAGACAAAATCGATTTCAAAGCGAATGATCTCTTTAAAACAAACTGCGAATATTACTTCTATGCACTTCAAGGTATTCTCTCTTTCTCTTTTCCTCTTTCCTTTCTCTTATCTTTTTTTATTCTCTTTTGCTGTTATGTTTCCCATGATAATTGGTTCTTCTCATCCAATTATACTCGTAACAGTTATCGGAATGTTTGAAAACAGCTTTTAAGTTCAAGTTACATCAATATTTCATATTTATGTAATGATATTTGACATGACGCAAATTGTATCCACAAAAAGATCTAGAAATCATATTATTATGTGGAATATCAATACTGAAATTGAATAGAGACTTTGTTATGATTTCCTGTACAACTGAATATAAGCTATTGTACGTCTACATCTCATGAAATATTTTGTCAAATAATGTTATCTTAACTTATTACGATTTTTCTAAGATATTATTTTAAAAATCCTCGATTCCTCGAGTAAGAAAGTAATACGTTTATATTTAAGAAGAATAAAAATATATTACAGAAAGAAAAGAGAGAAGCAGCACTTTAAAATAAATCGTATAAAGAAGATGAATGCGAATGGTATATAACAATGTGAAAGTCTGTTTTTATATCGTCTCTTTTCCTTTTCCATGAAATATGGCTAGCCAATTTACTACTAGAAAGCTTTATGGTAAGTACGATCTTGTCGAAAGACCACTTGAAACATTAAAAGCATCTTTGTTCGATAATTAATGGCTATGTGAAAAAAAAATTTTTTTATATTGAAATCTTTTTGAAGTTTTTAGTTCTATTTGGATTATAATTAGTTTAGATTTTTTTTCTGACAACCGAGAATTTTTTCGATAAATTTTGCAACAGGAATTTTTTGCATTACAGTTCTGTTTTTTTTTCTTCTGTAAAACGTGCGTTTTTTGTAATTTCTTAGGAAATAATCGCGGCCTTGTGTCAACAATTTATATAATTGTTGATGTAAATATAGAAAGATAAAAAAAAAATTGCATGTCATATAAGAATTAAAGTACGTTACTGTTTTTCTTCTATTGTGATGAAAAAATTAAAAATTATTACAAATCTTAAAATATTTTAATATTGTAGATAAATAATAGTATCATAGAAATGATACATTTTTTATGATATAATAGTTTTTTTGAAATTAATTATAAACATCTAATTTATAAGATTCTAATTCATTCATATTATGTATAATATTAGATGTGGAAAACAGTTCGTAGCGTTTTTTTAATGCCACCTAACGGGAAAACGCCACGAATTTTTTGCCACACCTAATATTATCTAATTGGATAACAAACATTCTTACTGGCGATAAATTTTTTGAGAAATCGATTAATTGCTTTCTAATATAAATTTTATGGATTATAAAATACATTGTATAATCTGTATGAAATTTGTGACAATGGTTTTTAAATGAAGAGAGACTAGTTTTATAGTAGGCATTGCGTGCGGATGACATGCGTAGCAAAGTGAAAGCGATAAATCTAGAAACAAGGTCGCATACAAAATAACACCGCACATTCTCGAGCACAGTGTTTTTAAATCGCATGTTTAATATAGCGTGTCAATGATACTAATCTAAATTAGCGAAAACTACAATAATTATTTTTATTTTAGAATTTTGAATTCCGCATTGATTTCAATATTTCCTAAATCCTATTAAAAATCTTATATTTATAACAGTAAGATAATTAATTATAGAAATAAGAAAAAATAGTGGATAAAATAATAAATGAAATAGTAAATTTTCACAAATTTCATTTAATTCTTTATACATAAAAGCAGATTTTTTTTTGAAAATACAGATTGAAATTATTGAAAATTAAATTTTGGAATAGCGGGGTGGATTTAGATTAGACAAAAATTAATAGAGTCTCGAAGGTATTTAAATTAAGAGACACAAACAAATTTAATTATCATGTTTATGTGTTTATTGATATAATTCTCGCAAGTTGTTGTATTCCAAAGAATTGCTTTGATCGAGCTGTGCCCCCAAGTTTTGAACCAATCATCGTCCGGTTCTGTCAGCCGGAGTCAATCGGAATAGTGTACTCACACACAGACGCGCGCAGCCTGCCTGCCAGCCGGCCGGTAGTAACGTTGCGTCGCATCTCGCAGGCTCCCACTTTCGTATCGCACGCCGTTGAGGTAGGACGGTACCTTGTGCTCCAAATCCGCTGATATTTAATGGTAGACATTTAACACACCGTATAATCGAATCACGAGTTTTCACGTGGTCTGGTGCCTGCGACGTTATTACACATCAAACGTGCGTGCTACGTTTTAGGCTTTGCTCGCTTCATTTGCATTAAAAATTGTCTGTTACGAAGAAAATCCGCACATGTCAAGGTCGAGGTGTGATTCGAGATTTTTTCCATCTCGCAGGTACGCTAAAATAGGAATACATAATAATGAAAGAAATCCCGTTACGTTAGAATTTCGTGGATAAACTTAAAATTGATAAAACTTGGTTATTATTGTTTATATTATTATACAATATTTGCTTTATATTATTTTTTGGCAAAAATATGACTTTATTATTTTTTACTTAGAATTTTCTATATAATTAAGAAATAAGTAAAGCTCTTAAATTTATTTTTAGTTTTTATTATGCTAAAAGATTATTATCAGCAAATTAACATTTAAATATTGTTGGAATAAGAACTTTCATTTAAATAACTGAGAATATTTAAGTTTCTGATAAAATTATTTATTTTATTTCTTTGTGCAACTATTATTATATTTATACAACAGTAAATTATTTATTAAGATCATAAATAGCGGTTGTCGAGTTTATATACGGAATACATCAAAGACATATACGCGTTATGTTAATATATACGCGTAATGTTAAATAAGCTGCGTATGGAATGATCTATGACGAAAATCATTTTATTGACTATTGGATGTGATTGTGTACTGAAAAGTGCGATAGCGGAAATGTGCGCTCCGATTTTGCATCGCATCGCGCGATTTGTTTTTCTAGGTCAATCGGACGATGGAAAATAAGCTCTCGTGCGTTTCGGCAACTTCTTGCAAGAAATAAAAACTTCCACTTTGCGAAAAATTTAAAATATTAAATGCACATGAATAATACATGGCCGATATTATGTTGACGTCAGTTGTGCCGATCGTGGAATTTACAATGAATTTTTCGAATAACGATCGCTAATCAATATGTGGACTAAAAGATCACATTTAAGTATAATCGAATGCTTTAATTATTCTCTCTCTTATTTAAGATTCAATAAGAAATCGTAATTACGATTGGATTTCCATAGAATTTCCATAGAAAATATTTGAAATATTTCATAAAATAGCAGAATGTTTAGGAATATATTTTAGCGAATGTTTTATTCGGCTGCTATTATTGATGTTTGACAAAGAATATTTCGATAATTCATGTCTCTGAAATTAAATTAATCAAATAAAGTGATAGGAAATATTGAATCGAAGAGTTCTATCAATTACTTGAAAATTTAATTGATTAATTAAAGCATATGCAGATAAAATACAATTTAATTTTCGTCAAATTGCTTGCAATTAGGTCAGTAATTTAATCTTTTATATGAGAAAGTTAAATTGATTGAAATTGATTGAAATATTCTTTCTACATTTAATTTTACTATATCATTTTTTTTCACACGTTTTCAACTTTCACCTAATAAGACTCTCGAATTATATAATATTGCATATACAATATTAAGAATATATAAATTACTGAGAGAAACTCATTTCCTAGATGAATAAAACTTGAACATAGAAGTCTATGTTGAACAGAATTGAGGATCACGTACTATTTTGCCGAGGTGTTTTCGGCTTACATGAGATTTATTTCATAATGTATACAATCTTCGAGCTTTACATGTTATGTATTTGAATTAAATGTTACGGGAGAAGCGAGCTTTTGGTATACTCCGTAAATTGTTATCCTATGCACTTAGCCGCATCTAAAATGCTAATATCGAACGTTCACTGTAAGCAGTGGTAAGTGACGACCCTTGTCGCCTATGTAAACGCATATCCGAGCTGTACACAATGTCATCGCATAAATTTGTGATTAAATATATGTATTGAAACATGACTAAATTCTGTTCGCGATCTTTGCTTTAGTTTCGTCATGCGATTATATAAATAAAAATAGATAATGAAGAGTTGATATGCAACCCGATTTACATTTTCATACGACCAAGTGCGAACACTTTTGTATTTAATGTCCAGTTTTATTTTCACGTTTTCTAGATCAAAGAAAAATACTTACTGTATTACACAGAAAAATACTTACTGTATTAAAATACTTACTTCAAAAGTTTATATACTACAAATTTACTAAAAATTTATCACATGCATCGTTTATTTAAAATATATTTTGAATTCTTGTCAGTTTAATACTTTAATCAAAATTATTGAATTAAAATATTTGTTTATTCCATAAAGTTGCTTTTTTGATAAAATTTTATAATATTCGAAAGAAAATAAATTTCTGTTTGATAATAAATTTTTTAAATTTATAATAAGTATGTTTTAAAACTATTATCAAGAAAATATTTTTATTAAAAATAATTGTTATTTAAAAGAAAAGTAAATTGAGTAATCACGTTTCTTAGAAGTAGAATTTTATCTTTTTGTGTTTTATACTAGAACAAAAAATGAGTTTAAAAAGAGTGTTTTACACATTTGGTAAATTTATACATTTTTAAATAATTTTTATTATATTTATATTATATATTTATAGCTAAATCCATAAGCTATTTTAAACTTAAACAATATGTTGCATATAGAAAAATGCACTTGCACATAAACAATAAGATATATTTAACAGCAATAATCATTGTTAATTTCGTGCAGAATAATACAAAAAAATTTGAAGTATCAAATTTTAATTTCGGAAAAAGATGTAGTCTAAGATTCGGAGAATTTATCTGGACAGGCGTGAATATGCAAAAATCTTGAATAATCACATACGTAGATGATTTAATCTAAATGTTTGTCGATTTATTAGCTGATCCTCGACGAAAATTGGAGCATGAAACCAATAAACTCAAGATTAAACGTGAAAAATGTGCAAAGTCAGCGTTGTTTTTAACGTCAGCTTAATGTTTCTAATTATTGACACTTGCGTCATTTGTTGTTGCGTAAAAAACTCAATTAAAATTATTTAATGACAGTAATATTATATGAATATATGAATATATATGATAATATATGAATATATAAAACATAAAAATAATTTGCGTGTAACTGCTAATTGACCCAAGCCATGATTATATTTTTATATTGAGAAAAATATATAAATGTATGTTTTATATCGAGTAAAATTGTATACTAATGAATAGTATACAATAACACAATTACATATATATTTGCAATATGAAAATTATTTAATTGAGACGCATAATTTAAACGCAAATACGTCTAAGAACTAAATACTATTAAAAATAATACTGATTTTGGCATTTTCAATTTAAAATGCAAAAATTAAACATCTTTATGCTTCCAAATAAAATCTACTTTTAAGAATTAAATACTTTTATGTGTTTGCAAACAGAAACACTTTATATAATTAAAGAATAAAAATAATTTTTACTGTTTTGTAAACTTGTTTAAAACTTTAAATATTTAAAAAATGGAGGGAAATAAAACATTTTGATATCTTAAAATTAATATTTAAAAATATATAAACATCTTTTTCTCTGAGTATATATAAACTTTGTTATTTTTGAGACTACTTAGAATAAATGTAGTATAATTAGGTGATTGAATTTCAAAAAGTTTCTTTGTTTAATTAAGAAGTTATTCAGATGATACTCTGAAACCTGCTGAGGGATGACAATCGACGAATATAATTATCCTCATGACGCAATTTCTTCAATATTTGTTTTAAAATTCAGCCATGCTTTGTCGAAAATTTGCGGAATGAATACTGAATGCAAATCTTTTTCAAGATTCGGTTCTATTTATATTGTAGTTCTAAAGTTCATATTAATGTAAACTTTATCTGTTATAGTTTAGCTTTGACGCCGTTATTCAAGAACGACAATTATTTTTTTTAAGTTGTATTACTTACAATAATAATAATTAATTTTCAAACGTATAACTTGGAGATTAAAAAGTAGTGTTTATTATTTCATTTTAGAGAGGAGGGAAGATAATGTGTAAGTACGTTATGAAATATTAATTATTAAAATCAACTTGTTTTATACATAAGTTAAAATAAAAACAAGATTTAATTGACATTAAAAGATTTTAATATATATGTTATTATACGTCATATATTTATATAGCATCAACTCCATACATTTCCAAAGTCAAGAATTAAATTATTATGAAATATTTTTCTTGAAAAGTCTACACTTTTTTGCGCTGTTTTTACGTGTCAAAGTATTTAGATGTTATGTAATTCATCCGTATCGTTTGCGCGTACGTTTTGTATGAAGCCAGGACGAAGCGACGAGATAAGCGCTTTTTGTTCAAGCTCGGTTTCCTGAAAGCGTCAAAAGTACTGACGAAACAGATGTGTTGTAGGTTGACTTGTTCGTTGAGAAAATGCAAGAAGTGTACAGGTATTGCACGCGTTTAATAATTACACATGTAATTTTTATGCGCCGTCGCGTATTTAATTGCATTTATTCGAAATATTACTTTCGAAAATTGCATTTTAATTAGCAAATTATTTTTATGCGCCGTCGCGTATTATTTATTAATGTTATCCCAATAAAATCTGAATAAAAAAGTTAATTTAATAATAAGATTAGAAACAAGACCGTTAATGTGAGTACGTCACCTAAATACGAGAGCAGTATTTTCGGTCACAAAATTAAATTAATACATATACAGTCACGAAACTAATTGTTTGGGCACAGATATTACAAATTTATTTTTTGATACAGTATCACCAAATAATATAATTTTTAAAGAATAATAGTATTTAGAAGTAAAAACTCTCTCCAGAGATTTACTTTTATCTCTAATATTAGTCAAAATTATATTTTCAGATACATATATAGACTCAACAAAACTATAAAAATCGCGAAATTAATTGATCGGACAAATAAAAATAATATTAAAAAAAATATAATATTAAATAATATATTAAGTTTTAATAGTGCGTGAGACTACCCTTAGCTTTAATAACTGCATTTAATCTGCTTGGAATTGTTTCCACAAGTTTTTCTGGTAACTTCAGGATTAATGTTTTTCTCAAGCTTCCAGGATGACTTTTTTCCTCATAATTCCGAGGATTCGATTTTCGGACTTCTGACTTAAGAATTTCCC